TTAGTGGAACAGCCTGCCTCCAGATGCTGTGAATGCTCCAACACTGGAAGTTTTTAAGAGACTGAACAGCCATTTGTCTGAAATGATATAGGGCAGTGGTTCTCAGCCTTTTTAATGCCGCGACTCCCAACCGGTCGTAAGTCGAGGACTACTCAACCGGTCGTAAGTCGAGGACTACTCAACTGGTGCAGCACCGTTTGCAGAATGGGACTTTTGGCGGGCTCAGCAGGGCAGAGACAGCCTGGACAATTCCTATTGGCTTTTGAAAGCCAATAGAATTAGACTCTATTCAAGAGAGTCTATTCTATTGGCTTTCAAAAGCCAATAGAATAAAAGGGAGTAGCACAGCTAAGGAAAAGGGGGAAAAAATGGCGGACTGCGTTGTTTGGCGACCCCCATGAAATGGTCGTTCGACCCCCAATAGGGTCCCAACCCACAGGTTGAGAACCACTGATATAGGGTTTCCTGCCTGAGCAGGGGGTTAGACTAGATGACCTCCAAGATCCCTTCCAACTCTGTAATTCTGTTATTCTGAATAAAATAAAAAGAATGTCCAAGATTGATAGGTTCAGATGGGGGATCTTCTTGGAAATGCAATTCCTGTAGATCAGGGGTCTTCAAACTTGGCCTCTTTATAACTTGTGGACTTCAACTCCCAGAATGCCTCAGGCAGGCGCTGCCTGGCTGAGGAATTCTGGGAGCTGAAGTCCACAAGCCATAAAAGGGCCAAGTTTGAAGACCTCCTGCTCTAAAGAGATTTGTTTTCTCACTCTTTAAAGCCATTTTGCTCGGAAGGGGACACATGTTTCACGTCCCCTTAATGTCAAATTTATCAGTTTCTTTCAGCTTCGTTCTTTTGATTTCTAGCTTTTCGTTCGAGAGCCAGAGAGACGGTTGGGCGTGAGAGGAAACATCCGGCAACACGGCTTCTTTCAAGAGATCTGTTGGGAAGCTTTGGAAAGGAAAGAGATTGACCCACCTTTCAGGCCTGTTGTGGTGAGAATTGTTTCTTTGACTCCCTCTGTTTCCCGAAATAGCTTCCTGAAGCCACAGTTACTTTCATTTAATTTATTCATTTGTTTATTCCAGGGGTCTTCAAACTTGGCCCTTTTATGACTTGTGGACTTCAACTCCCAGAATTCCTCAGCCAGGCACGTTGGCTGAGGAATTCTGGGAGTTGAAGTCTACAAGTCATGAGGGGGCCATAGTTCCCTCACACTGACTGAGGAATTCTGGGAATTGGTCCATAAGTCATGAAGGGGCCATAGTTCCCCCATGCTGGCTGAGGAATTCTGGGAGTTGAAGTCCGCGAGTCATGAAGGGGCCATAGTTCCCCCATGCTGGCTCAGGAATTCTGGGAATTGAAGTCCGCGAGTCATGAAGAGGCCATAGTTCCCCCATGCTGGCTCAGGAATTCTGGGAGTTGAAGTCCACGAGTCATGAAGGGGCCAAAGTTCCCCCATGCTGGCTCAGGAATTCTGGGAGTTGAAGTCCGCAAGTCATGAGGGGGCCATAGTTCCCCCATGCTGGCTCAGGAATTCTGGGAGTTGAAGTCCACAAGTCATGAGGGGGCCATAGTTCCCTCACACTGACTGAGGAATTCTGGGAATTGGTCCATAAGTCATGAAGGGGCCATAGTTCCCCCATGCTGGCTGAGGAATTCTGGGAGTTGAAGTCCGCGAGTCATGAAGGGGCCATAGTTCCCCCATGCTGGCTCAGGAATTCTGGGAGTTGAAGTCCGCAAGTCATGAGGGGGCCATAGTTCCCCCATGCTGGCTCAGGAATTCTGGGAGTTGAAGTCCGCGAGTCACGAAGGGGCCAAAGTTCCCCCATGCTGGCTCAGGAATTCTGGGAGTTGAAGTCCGCAAGTCATAAAAGGGCCAAGTTTGAAGAGCCCTGATCCAGGTCATAGTTGTCCCAAAGGTGCTTTTTCAAGAGGCAACTGGACTATCTTAGTTTTTCCTTGAAGACGTTTCGCTTCGCTTCCGGGAAGCTTCTTCAGTTCTAAACTGAACTGAACTGAATTGAGCCAAACTGAAGAAGCTTCTTGGATGAGAAGTGAAATCTCTTCAAGTGAAAACGAAGAAAATCCAGTTGCCTCCTGAAAAACCACTTTTGGAACATTCCCAGCCAGGTATTTAGTACCACCAAACCCCCCCCCCCCAAAAAAATTAAGCTTGGGTGTGAACCCTTTCAGGGATTGCATTCATACAATTGGCTTAACCACATCAGATCAGGTCCTAGCAAATGCCTTCACACAATACGCTAACTTTGGTTCACCTTAACCTTGGTAAATTTTTCTCTAACTGCAAATCCAGCTCACGTGTGTGTGTGTGTGTGTTTTATGCAAACCCACAAAACGAGACTTTAATAACCAGGGTAAGTATCTGCAAATGCAGGCAGCAGTGTGGGTGTGTGAGAGTGGCTTACACGTGCATGCCACTTGATTGGGCAAATGCAGTGATGGTGAACCTTTTGGGCTCCGCGTGTCAAAAATTTGGAAAATGCCTAATTTGACAATCCTGGCATATCACTCCTCTGCAAAAAAAAAAAAGAGAGAGAGAGAAACAATTCTTTACCTATTTCTTTCTTTAAAACTAAATAAATAAATATATATATATATATATATATATATATATATATATATATATATATATATATATAATTAAATCAAATAAAAATTAATTAGGGTGGATTCAGACACCAGTACAGTGATGGCACGAGTGTCATTACTGATCTTGGAAGTGCTATCTGATCCAAAAGGAAGCATTGACCAAGGATAATTTAATTTAATTCTATTCTATTCTATTCTATTCTATTCTATTCTATTCTATTCTATTCTATTTTTAAAAATCCCACTCTATTCTCAATAAAGATTCCATTATTCTATTCTATTCTATTCTATTCCATTCCATTCCATTCCATTCCATTCTATTCTATTCTATTCTATTCCATAATCTATTCTACAATCTATTCTATTCCATTCCATTCCATTCTATTCTATTCTTCTACTCCATTCCATTATTCTATTCTATTCCATTCCATTTCTATTCTATTCTATTCTATTCTATAATCTATTCTACAATCTATTCTATTCTATTCTATTCCATTCCATTCCATTCCATTCCATTCTATTCTATTCTATTCTATTCTATTCTATTCTATTCTATTCTATTCTATTCTTCTACTCCATTCCATTATTCTATTCTATTCCATTCCATTTCTATTCTATTCTGTTCTGTTCTGTTCTGTTCTATTCTATTCTATTCTATTTATTCCAATTCTTGTCTTGTCCTGTCCTGTCCTATCCTATTCCATTCCATTCCATTTCTATTCTATTCTATTCTATTCTATTCCATTCCATTTCTATTCTATTCTATTCTATTCTATAATCTATTCTACAATCTATTCTATTCTATTCTATTCTATTCTATTCTATTCTATTCTATTCTTCTACTCCATTCCATTATTCTATTCTATTCCATTCCATTTCTATTCTATTCTGTTCTGTTCTGTTCTGTTCTATTCTATTCTATTCTATTTATTCCAATTCTTGTCTTGTCCTGTCCTGTCCTATCCTATTCCATTCCATTCCATTTCTATTCTATTCTATTCTATTCTATTCTATTCTATTCTATTCTATTCTATTCTATTCTATTCTATTCTTTGCATTCCTGGAGCATCTGCATCTTCTTTCTGAAGTCCTCGTTGTGGAAGACTTTCCACATTTCTCCTCTGAAATTATGCGACAAAGACAGGGATAACCCCCATTTTTCCTAGTTGTTTTTTTTTTTTTTTAAAGCTCAGAGACTTCGTCTTCAGATAAGTGTCCCTCTTTCCTGGCTGCTCGAGAGGGGTTCTCCTCTTTTCCTAACTCCCCCCCCCCTCTCTCTCCTTGAAAGAAATCGCCAGGAGACTGCAGCAACTTCGACAAGGAATTCCTCAACGAAAACCCCCGACTCTCCTTGGGAGACCGGGCCCTCATCAACAGCATGGACCAAAACATGTTTAGGACTTTTTCGTTTACCAACCCCATCATGGAGAAATTGCTATCCTGAAGAACGGCCCGCGAAAGATGCACCTGTCGAAGTCAACCCAGCAAGAGGGATGTGACTTCCCGCGCTGGCTTGCACCTCTGTCTACATATTACCTTCCCTGAGCAAGCAAGTTTTGAGAGGGCAAAAAATTGTGAGATCCTTACACGCCGTGTCTTCTTGATCACTGAGCAATCAGGAGGACAGAAGCATCTGCTTAGAGAGGAACTGCACAACTGCACAAACCTTTTTCAAGACAACAACTGTGGAGGTTTTTGACAGGCTGCATGCTATATATCCTTCTCGGTTATAATGTGTTTCTGGTCCCATAATTCCAAGATCAGGCGCTGGGGAAGCCTTTGGCTAACTTTTCTCCAGGAGTTTGCAAAGTAAGCACGCTACAGATGGTCCTTGACTTACAGCAGTTTGTTTAGTGACCGTTCGAAGTTATGACAATAACAAAAAAAAATGACCAGTTTTCACACAACTATTGCAGCATCCCCACGATCAGAATTTGGATGCTTGGCAGCCAGCATCAATTTATGACCGTTGTGGTCTCCCAAGAGTCACGCAATCATCTTTTGCAATGTCAACAGGGAATTCAGATTCCTTTAACGACCGTGTTACTAATTTAATTTACTAATTTAAGGACTGCAATGATTCACTTAACAACTTTGGCAAGAAAAGGTCACAAAATAGGATAAAACACATTTGACAGCTCTGTAAACCACAATTGTGGTTGTAAGTCGAGAACTGTCTACAGTCTGTTTTCTTCTGCTGCATGAGAAGATTCAGAATTTCAACATTTATGAAATATGGTCCTACAGCAGACACTCAATAGTGTATAGGGCAGGGGTAGGCAAACTTGGTGCTTTTATGACTGGTGGACTTCACCTCCCAGAATTCCTGAGCCAGCCATGCTGAGAGGAAAGGGAGAGGTTTCCATGCTTAGCCATGCTGGCTCAGGAATTCTGGGAGTTGAAGTCCACGAGTCATAAAAGAGCCAAGGTTGCCTACCCCTGCTCTAGGAGGCTCACCGCTTAGAACAGGAGGCCTTAGGACAGGGTTAGGCAACCTTGGCTCTTTTATGAGGCGTGGACTTCTACTCCCAGAATTCCTGAAGCAGCATGGCTAAGCATGGAAACCTCTCCCTTTCCCCTCAGCATGGCTGGCTCAGGAATTCTGGAAGTTGAAGTCCACGAGTCATAAAAGAACCAAGGTTGAGGACCCCTGGTATAGGTAGTCCTTGACTTACAGCAGATCCTTTAGTGACCGTACAAAGTTACGTCATTGAAAAAAGTCTTATGACTGTTTTTCACACTTAGGTCTGTTGCAGCATCCCTCGTGGATCCAAATTTGGATCCTTGGCACAACTGACTCATACTTATGACTGTTGCCGGGTCCCGGGGGGTCACGCGATCCCCTTTTGCGACCTTCTGAAAAGCAAAGTCAACGTGGGAATTCATTTAACAACTCATGTTACTAACTAAGCAACTGCAATCTTTCACTTGACAAATGTAGCAAGAAAGGTCGTAAAATGGGACAAAATTCACTTTACAGCTGCCTCGCTTAGCAACAGAAATGTGGGGCTCAGTTGTGGTCGTAAGCCGAGGACTACCTGAAAACGTCTGGTGGCCAACGTTTTATATTTTATTTTATTAAAATCCAACAACCATATTTTTCTAGACTCGATGCACAGTTAAAACACCGTCATTATTGGAGCCGTGGTGGCTCAGTGGTTAGAAGGCAGTATTGCAGTCTGACTCTGCCCACTGCCAGCAGTTTGATCCTGACTCGAGGTTGACTCAGCCTTCCATCCTTCTGAGGTCGGTAAAATGAGGACCCAGATTGTTGGGGGCAATATGCTGACATTTGTAAACCTCTTAGAGAGGGCTGTAAAGCAGTGAGAAGTTGTATATAAGTCTAAATGCTATTGTTAGGATGGAAGGAAGGAAGGAAGGAAGGAAGGAAGGAAGGAAGGAAGGAAGGAAGGAAGGAAGGAAGGAAGGAAGGAAGGAAGGAAGGAAGGACGGGCCATGGTGGCGCAGTAGTGAAAATGCAGTACTGCAAGCAAACTGCCCAGTGCCAGTTCGATCCTGACCAGTTCAAGTTTGATTCAGCCATCCATCCTTCTGAGGTTGGTCAAATGAGGACCCAGATTGTTGGGGGGCAGCAGGCTGACTCTGTAAACCGCTTAGAAAGGGCTGTAAAGGCACTGTGAAGCGGTATATAAATCTAAGAGCTATTGCTATCTCCACCCTACATCAAAGTTCACCAGATATGTCAAAGGTGTCTCCTGCTAGTTTATGTTTGCTATTCCGTTCTTCTGAATACATTCATGCAGATTTTTCTCACTAGATAATTCTCAGCATCCACATTTCATTTCCCAAAAGTCGTTTCTCTTCCCAGATTTTGTAAATCTCTAGACCTACTCCTTGCTTTCCTCACTGGAAAAAAGGACAGGACTTCTTCTAATCTATAGATGGGATTCCTTTGAATAACTGAAATTTCACGTAATCTCAAATTTCCGCTGTTTTTCCTTCGGTGGTTAGAAAAACTGGATTGTGGGGTTTAAGTTGTGATTATGGATTGTTGTTGTTGTTTTTTCATTAATAAATGATTATTTGTGATGCCTGTACAGTGTAATAAAAACAATCGTCCATTAACACACCTGTCAAGTCACAATAATTCATAACCACAATGATGGAATATTTTATGCCCCCTTTGACACCCAAATGCTTTCACCTCTCTCCTTCCAGTTCGTTCTATTTTTTTATTTTTTTTTTAGAAAATTTTATTGGTTTTTCTAATTTTACATTTAAATATTTGAAAAGCAACGTGGCGGCTGAGTTGATCAATAATTCAATAACATACAGGTATCTTTAGTACAGATCTCGGACTATTACATTACATATATCCTCTCTTTTCCCCTTGGTATTTACTGTCTCATATTTAAACTGATAACAATTCTTATTACATTGACGAAATAAAAATAATTGTTTTACATTTATCAATAATTTTTAATCTATACACATCCCAGTTACTTTAACATTCAATCCTTTTAGACAATCAATGTCCTAGTTTTTTCCAATTTTTAGTTTCCCATCAATAAACGAATTCAACGTTCAATATTTTATAATTTCCAAATTTTAAATAACCCCAATTCCCTTTATCACAATTCACCACAAGCTCTAATGTTCAGGATACACGTCTTATCTATTTGAATTCTCACCATCTTACATCAAGTAATTAATAATACAACATTTCTTATTTTTTGGTAATTTCCAAATATCTTAAATTTAGTCACCAAAATTTCTCTTATTTCAGCATTTAATACTTCCTCTCTTTTTCTCTTAATAGCCACTATCTCATATTTAAGCTTTTATTATTACCGCTAAGTAGAAACATATCTATTACAGTCATCAATAGATTTTTAGCTTATAGCCCGTTCGTTCTATTTCTTATTCTTCCACGCTCCGATGGAAAATTAGAGGATCCCTGCAAATCAGCTTGATTGAACAGACAAGAAGCAACGGATGGACACTAGTCAAGGAGAGATGCAATTTAGAACTAAGCAGAAACTTCTTGACAGAACAATTAACCGGTGGAACAACCTGCCTCCAGAAGCGGTGAATGCTCCAACATTGGAAGTCTTTAAGAAGAGACTGGACAGCCATTTGTCTGAAATGATATAGGGTTTCCTGCCTGAGCAGGGGGTTGGACTAGATGACCTCCAAGGTCCCTTCCAACTTTATTATTCTTATAACGGGCATATCCCACTGTAGTCCTCAATTTACAACAATTAATTTAGTGACTGAAATAACGAAGGCATTGGAAAAAAAGGGCCTTATGTCCATTTTTCACACAACCCTTGTGGCATCTCCATGATCGTGTAATCAAAATTGACAACTGGCTCATATTTACGACGGTCGCAGCGTCCCGGGGCGTCAAGTGATCTCCTTTGGCAACCTTCTGACCAGCCAAGTCCATGGGGAAGACAGATTTCACTTAACAAGAGTGTTAACAACTGCAATGAAATGTAAAAAGGGGCAAAATTCACTTAACGGGGTGGGTGGGTGTTGCTTAGCAACAGAAAATTTGGGCCCAGTTGTAGTGGTAAGTCAAGGACTATCTGTAGTTTAGTAAAGAGAACTAACTTCACGCATTTGTGGGCTTTGCTGAGACCGGATACTCTCCACTCAGCTACTTCTTATGAGGTGACTGCTGAGTAGCAGACGTTTGCAGCATCCGTCATACAACTTCCGGCTGACTCATTGCTTCCTAAAACCACAAGAGCCCTTGTAACGCACTGTACTTCTATTAAATGCAGCTGCTTGCCCGACATTTGGCATCGGAGGTGGTAGAGGTGTTACTGAAATGAACCTCGCATCGCCGTCCCTGAACTCTGCTGCTGGAGAAGACGGGGTCAGATCTGCAAGAAAGTGGTGCTTTGTAACCTCCATAAATGGCTTTATTGTGCAATGGGGATAAAAGAGAGCCAGGCTGGTCTCTAGCGGTTGAGACACCAGGCTAGAAAGTGGGAAACTGTTGAGTTCTAGTCCTGCTTTAAGAATGAAAGCCAGCTGGGTGACTTTGGGCCAATCACCAGGAGACAGTGAGTTCTAGTCCCGCCTTAGGTATGAAAGCTGACTGGGTGACTTTGGGCCAATCACCAGGAGACTGTGAGTTCTAGTCCCGCCTTAGGTATGAAAGCTGACTGAGTGACTTTGGGCCAATCACCAGGAGACTGTGAGTTCTAGTCCCGCCTTAGGTATGAAAGCCAGCTGGGTGACTTTGGTTCAATCACCAGGAGACAGTGAGTTCTAGTCCCGCCTTAAGTATGAAAGCCAACTGGGTGACTTTGGGCCAATCACCAGGAAACGGTGAGTTCTAGTCCCACCTTAGGTATGAAAGCTGACTGGGTGACTTTGGACCAATCACCAGGAGAGGGTGAGTTCTAGTCCCGCCTTAAGCATGAAAGCTAGCTGGGTGACTTTGGGCCAATCAGCAGGAGACGGTGAGTTCTAGTCCCGCCTTAGGCATGAAAGCCAATTTCAACGGTCTGACTGAAAAACAGTCATAAATCATTTTTTCAGTGCCATTGGAACTTCAAATGGTCACTAAACGAACTGTTGCAAGTCAAAGACCACCTGTAGACTTGCAACTACACAACCATTGCAGTGTAGAGACAGGTTTCACCCCCAAAGCCCAGCAAATTGGACTTACAAGAGTTCCTAATCAAAATAGACTAGAGGGAATTCTTGACCCAACTGGGCCCAACATTTGCCTTGCTAACCAAGTCGGTTGTTAAGTGAGTTTTGCCCCATTGTACAACCTTTTTCTGCCACTGTTGTTAAGCGGATCACTGCAGTTGGTAAGTGAATCATGGTTGATATGTCAGCCTGGCTTCCCCCGTTCACCTTGCTTGTCAGAAGCCAGCTGGGTAGGTTACAAACAGCGATCACATGAACCCGGGACAATGCAACTGTCATAAGTACATGCCAGTTGCCAAGTGCCCAAACTTTGATCATGTGACCTTAAGGATGCTGACCTTCTCTAACCTGATGAAACTTTGGCCTGCTAAGACCACCATTCCCAGGATTCTGTGCCAGAGGACATTACAGTACATACTAAGTACTTTTGCTAGCATGATTCAAACTGCCTGTGTTCATATTCACAGTGACAAATTTTATTCCGTAGGGTTCTTGGTGCTCTCCGAGTTTCATTGTTTGCTTGCAGACGTTTCATTACCCAACTAGGTAACATCATCAGTGATGGAAGGGAGTTAGGTTTGCAGGGAGGAGGAGGAGGAGGAGAAGGAGGGGGTGAAGTCTTTGATGTTTACTTGTTTTCATGAAGACGTTTCATAACCCAACTAGGTAACATCATCAGTGCTTGAAGAGAATGAGGTTTACAGGGAGGAGGAGGAGGAGGAGGAGAAGGGGGAGGTCTTTATGCTTGGTTGT